CACTGGGAATATGAACTCTCTGTGGCAAACCATTGGTGGTGCACTGCATTGTGAAACACCCAAATTCACTATCATGAACAAGAACCATAAACCTAAAGCCTGAACAACGCCTTAACTGTGGGAGAATCAGAACTAAACCACAAACAGGATATGAACTACAACTTAGACCAGAACATCAAACTCAAACCATTATGTCAATCAGAATTAAAAACCAGGGACTCGGCAGGCACACTTCTGTAAAAAAGTGACAACTGGTTGGACCCAAAAATCAATTTTACTCAACCCGTTAGGAAAGTCTTCCTGGGAAAGTCAAGTGTCTCCATTTTACAAGCCAGGATGTATGTTTTCTGTCAAACTCTTCCAGGATTTTTCTTAAGTGTTTGCTTTCGGTGGCTGAGGTAGCTCCTCAAGAGGTAGCTCCTCAACAGGTAGTGACTTTCCCTGTCAAACAGACCTGTCATTTGTTACAAAAAATCTTGTTTTAATTTGGCTTGACTTTTCAACACTTGCCAAGATTTCGTGTTTATCTGCGAGTCTCGGAAAACAAATTTGCAGGCTTAGTAGGCCAAGAGTTCCTTTGATAACATTGGCCAATCAATTCAATTTGATCAAACTTCATCACATGCATTTGTAGAATGTAATCGATCTAGACAACCGTGGCGACGAGGGACTTGAAAAGTGAGAAGAGCAGATCTGGAGTCCAACCGGAACATTGTTAGTGGGGAGTTTATAAAGTGCAATAGTAAGTAGAACTATTTTGGTTGACAGCCACGTTAGGGCCTTTCACACTGTCCAAAATCTGTGTGTGAACCACTTTCACATTACCAAGAATCAAACACGGCTTCTTCACAGGTCTAAAATCCAACCCTGGTCAGGACCAGGGTGGAGAGGCTCTACCAAGGTAGAATATCCAGAATCTACAGCCGATCCGTCTACAACCTGAGATGTAAACGTGTCCACCCATGTTCGGTGGGACCTCTGTTCACAGAGGAGCTTTGTTTAACTTCAACATGGGTAGGGAAGACAATTTTGGGAAAGGCAGGCCTTTTCACACTAGAGCCACTCAACCCTGGGCAAACCCAGTGCCACCCCGGGTTGAGTTTTTGATTTTTCAACCCCATGTTCAACCCCGCATCGTTTCACACTTGTTTCGTGCAGACCGAGCTTATTTCGCTTGGATACTACTGTTTGAAACCCGTGGTGACAGTTTCAACCCCGGTTGAAAATCTCAACCCCGGTCTGGAGCAGGTTTGAGGTCAACCCGTGGCGAAATCAATCTCAGGGTTGACGCAGGGTTGGCGCAGGGTTAAACATGTTCAAGTGTGAAACGCCGCATATTTTCAACCCTTGGTCAACCCTGCATCATCCCCGAGATTTGTCTAGTGTGAAAAGGCCTAAAAAAAAATGTGAGTATAGTTACTTCCTCTGCTCAGTGACGAATGCTTACTGACCACAATCCTATCAGTGGGTCTGTCTTTGCTAACGTTCAAGTTTGAAAATATACCCATGATGGGACCAGAGATGTTTGCGAACTGCAAACTCCACAAGCTTCTCCAGGGATCGTGTCTCTAAATTCAGGAGATTTCAATTTCATACAACAGGGCAACAAGTCAATGTGTCAAAATACAGGCCGTTTACGATGCGTGCCTGCGGCCTCTGGTGGTTTGAAAAAACATACCATGAAGGATTCACGCTAGTATGATCCTAGTCAAGAGACTGCTAATTTATAGCACCCCGGGGATCTATAGTCTGTGGGTTTTATTAAGGTGTCTGTGTACAGTCTACTGTAGCATCACTGGTACTCAGTGCAGGCCCGGATATTCCAATAGGCACAGTAGGCACTGTGCCTAGGGCCTACGAAAAACTTGGGGGTCTACAAAAAATTTAGGGGCCTACAAAATGAAATTACCGCAGTGTGCCATAACACCAACACCCACGCACACACAAGAAAGTTTTAAGGAAGTTCTAAGCATGTCTCTCAGGATTTTTGATTTCAACAACCGACACTGTTGAAGCTGCATAAATTTACGTGTGAAGTTTGTCGTTCTGAAGCACAGTGACAACAAGCTTTTAGAGCTACCAGTTTGGCCTGGCTTGCTTAGCAACAACTTGAAATTGGTGCCGTTGCCTTGGGCGGAGTACGGCCTATGATCACTGGTGCCTAGCGCCTAAGGACCACTTAATCCAACCCTGCTCGTGTGACATATCACCGGTGAAATATCACTCGTAACTCTGATGAGTCAACATTGGTCCTTTGCTGAATAATCACTGTTTCTCTCACACTACCACTGGTAACCAATCAGATAATATCATGGGTAATTAAGAGAGTCATCATTGGTACTCTGCCAGAATATCCCCGGTACTCTCACAAAGTATCACTGGTAAAATCAAGGGTACTCGGGAGAGTCATCACCTTCTATTGGCACTTATGTTGAATTTAATATTAGAAGCCAGACAAAAAAAGGGTGATAATATGACACAAAAGTTATGGCTTCACAAGCCTCTCATCACACACGCAAATCCCGACCCAGACATTATCAAAGGAGACCCCATTATGCAAGGCAACAAAACACTCAACTCCAAAGAAAGTGTTTACTGATTCTTCGAACTGAAACCAACCCGTAATTGCAGGAAGGACTGCTATTTGACTGCTGTTTAACAACTGACATTATTATCCGGTATAACTGACACGTTGTAATTGCAGCCCACAGTTTCCAGCATGACACTCTCATCCATCTCACTTAGGCTCAAAAAGCTCTCAAGATAAGAAAAAAGTAGTCTGTGTGTACTGTAAGATTTTGAGTGAATTGAAGTTTCTGTCAAGACAGGATGTGTTTTGATGCTGGAATGCTGTCACTGGCTTCACCTTGCCAAGAGGTGTGTTCTTGGCTGGCTGGGTAATTTGGGCAGACAGGCAGTCGGTGTGATTATATTAAGGTTGATGGTAAGTAGGGTAGGGTAGGGTGGGATAGGGTGGGGTGGGGTGGGGTGGGGTGGGGTAGGGTACGGTAGGTTGGGGGTTGGGTAGGTGGGGTGAGGTTGGGGTGGGGCTGGGGGCTGAGGGAATGATGTAGGTGGCTTAAAGAAAACCAAAATGGAAAGCATTTGTGACCTGTATGACCACAAAATGAGCTTACACTTACAGTCAAAACTGCCATTTGCAGTACAGTGGGGCAAATTCAAAATTTGAAGGTCATTTTTATTGTTTCCAACCTTGATTTGTAGGCCCTCTTTTACCTTTCTTCATTTTTTGTTGTTGTGTCAGAAATCTTTAAAACCTATTTTCATTCCGTTTTATGAGTTGACTGTTCATTCACTGTAACACAACTACAGGATTTTTAAATGCCATTTTCTCGAGAATCAGTTTTATAACTTCAAGTATGTTGATTGTCTATATTTCCATTAACGAATTCAGTACCCCTAAACGTTATATACCAGTGGAAAGCTCTTATTCTACAGAATCCAAATAAATAAATATCTCAATTCTTAAAAAGTCCGACTTGATGAAACACAATGCGGAACAAAATGTGCAGATCTTCACAATTCAAGCATGCAGCTTAACAACCTACACATAGCATGACTTGTACAAAAGTCAAGCGCCTTCGCAGCGTGCTGACAAATCAATTGTATCCTTGCCACGCCGCTGCCCTTTATTTGTTTTACCCATCCCGCATTGTCGGTTGTAAGACTTTCCCCTCCACCCAATCCTGCAGCAGTCTAGCTCAGCGCTAAACATAGATACACAACTCACTTCCTCGAGCCTAGCTTCCTCACAACAAAACTTGTTGTTGCCCTGCTCAAGGGCTGGCCAAGGTACGGGACAGGATCTTCCATTTTCATCCTGAGTTTCTCTCTCCCTCTCTCGTCTCTCTAGAGGCATCCCGAGCAGACATTCACCCTCCAACATCCCTCCTCAGGGATTAAGGGCCGATTCTCCAGGGGAATTAAACAATCAGTCGGCATAATCTAACAAAGGTGGATCAGCTTCTCTCTCTCTCTCTCTCTCTCTCTCTCTGTCTTTTGATTTGCTCCTTTGAGTTTGGAGTGAAACTTGTTTCCGAATGGACTTGAGTCACGTAGAGTAAAAAGCCGTCATCCACCGTGCACGCAGTTTATTGGGTTGTTTTTAACAGACTCGACATTTGCCAGTGCACAAATCGAGCGACATGGGGTTGCTCATGGGGGCAACAAGCGGGCAGAAAGCAGCAATTTCTCAATGAAAACAAATAACCCTCGTTATACCTTTCAAAATATTCACTTTTTTTGTTAACTGAAACCTGTCAACCCAAACCTAGTCTGGCTATTTTCAATCCGCTCTTGATTTCAATTTCAGGTGGTACAAATAAAACCAAAGACTCTGAAGACAGAAATTGCAGTGACGATGCTGCACTGACGGGCGGATCCCATAAATGTCTTGAGCCATCCAGGTAAAATCAGCAACGAGAATAGAAGGGCACGAACCCCAAATTTGAGGAGACAAGGTAAAGGAAATGACACAACAAAAGTTCAAATTTGGCAAGTGACGCACTCTCGCCCCAGGGGAAATAAAAGATACAACAAAGGACAATCATGGGGGAGAATGACCCCCCTTCCCCCCCCCACCCCCCACACACACACCTTAGGATGCTGCCTTAAAAGTAGTGAAACAAGGACAATTGTAGGCCTAGCTGCTTCTGTTGTATGAAACACTGACACACAACATTGTTTTGTGTTTCCCGAGCACGAGTGGGATAACAAATTTATCTTTAAATTAAGAAAACTTCAGGTTCGCTGTGGTCACGTTTCAGACATACTGTACTCCCATTACACATGTGCACGCTGTAAAAAAAACATGCCTATCTTATAACAGCGCGCTGTACGCTCGGTGCAACACGGGATAATACCACACTCCTGTTGCCATGGATCGACCAATTGAGATCAAGGATTCACGTTTGCTTGCCGATCGTTATTTACGTTTGAAAGATGTAATGTGTTGGACAAAGTTTTGACAGATGACTTACTGTGGTTTTTGCGGCTTGGACACGAACAGAGGCACTCGGTTGGATGGGACCACCTCACCGGCCATCAGCTGGTACTTCTGAGCGTCTTGAAGATTCCGACTCTGCTGCATGTTGCACTAGGAGCAAGAAAAGCAAAAAAAAATTGAAAAGTAAGATGATAACAATTCTCCATGATACCACTATTGCAGGGGACAGTGTCTGAAACATGCCACTAAAAAGACCCCCAAAAATAATAAACCTTGTAAATTTCAAGACTTTTTCTTTAAAAAAAATTACAGGCTAGGGGTAATTTAAGTGAACTATGCAAACACTGATTGCTACAAGTTCACAAAAATTAAACACATTTTTAGCAATTATGTTAGGAAAGGCAAAATTTGCCAGGCTAACCTGTACACTTCGCAATGGCATGAAAAACAAACGCAAATCTCCCTCATTTGAAACACAAACAATATGCGCTGTACAAAGCAGTAACTGGCACTGTTTCCTTCGCACTGAGTCATGTTCCCATCCTGGCTAAAATAGCTGCAAAATATTTGTCAGTTTGCTGAAGTCTGCGTACTTAGGCACAAAGGAGGTTGAAATACTTGTTAAATGCCCCCTTTTCTGCTCGTTTCATCCAAGTTTAAAAATAAAAAACAATCTGGTTCAAGTATTTTGCTTAATGTCAACTTTAATATCGTTCAAGAAATGACAATCCAAAATTCCGGACAAGTCAGAGAGGCCAAAAAAAAATCAAAAAAAAATAAAAATGTCTGTGTAGTTTGTCACCAACACTTGGACATGTTCTCTTGAGGGAATGAAACAGGGGAATGCCAATTATGCAAAACACTCTAAAAAAGGGTCATAAATTGGCACGGGAATTGAAAGCTGTAAATGAAAAAAAAATGGACAGAATGTAAAACAGCAGGCTGCTAACTATCTGAGAAAAAAAAACCCCAATTTTCAGATTTAGCTCCCAAATAGAGGTCGGGTCACCGAAGTGCTTTTTGTTGATTTAATGGCTGCTTTTGTGGACAAAGTTGGAGTCGCTTGCAGTGCTGCATCTTCTTTAACAATTCCTCCCCCGAAAGCAAAAGAACTTGCGGCTATTTGTGGAGTGCCGGGAGAGTAGGCATGGCGGGACTAAGCACATAAATGCCACAGGCCAGGGTGAAGGGGGCCAGTGGTTATGTTTTGGGATGTGGAGTACTTCCACTCCCACCTTTATTTTGCTAGGGCCAGTCCACGACAAGGTTCCAGCCTGTGGCTTTGTTTGCTGGGCCCCTGGATCCTGAAAGCATTTGGTGATGATGTGTGACTGAGCAGAGACCAATAGCAAGTTGCCCTACGAGGAGGGGGGGGGGGAGTTGAATAGAATCATGGATGCCATGTGTAGTGAGTGCCGCGGCATCGTGGTCTGGTTCACTGAACTCAAGATCTTGTGGGTTCGAGCCCAGCCAGGGTCGTGGTACGTGTGTCCTTGGGCAAGACACTTTGTCAATCTTTGCTTCTCCCCACCAAGGGGTGAATGGGTACCCAGTTATGGCATGAGTGTGTATATGGTATGATTTCATTGGCCCGATGAGCAGGGGTAATAATATTAAGAAATCTGGAGGGACTTAAAAGCCAAAGCACCCAAATTTGCACTCTAAATGGATTCTATGTATAGCAAACAGGCCTCACTACCCTAATTTTAAGTCTTCCTTTCGTCACCAAAATACCAGACGTTTCACCAAATCCCAACGATCAACAGCTCGCAAAGAGATTTTCCCATTTTCAGTCAATAAAGGTCCCCAGGAAAAGCATCAATCCGCCTCCCTGGTTCATTAGCAACATGTGAAAGGTACTCGATGAAAGTACGACACCAAGTAAGAGAGAGAGAGAAAAAAATCGAAAGGCAGACGGGGAGCAATCATTTCACAGAGGCGAGGAAGGCAATCCATGTGGAATAGGGTGCGATGAACGAGGGCTTTCCCTCCGCTAAAGCCACTTTCAATCAAGAGATACCGAGGTGGGCGGGAGATTTGCAAAATGTCAGCCAATGTTTCGCTCAAATGGTCATTAAGGTAATGTGCTGTTGATTTGTGCCGAGGTGGACAGAAATAGCACGAAAGACGTCTCCTAATCTCCCCATGATGCAGAAAATATAGACACAGAATGCGCCAATGTGGTAGTCGAGTCTCGTTCAGGATCGAAGGCAATAAAGGGTGGGGAGGGGATATTAAAGACCACTTGCATACAAAAATGGGCAAGAGAGAACGGAAGATTACATGTGTACTTTTGGAATCAAGACTGAAATCTACAATTGAACCTGGGCCCAATTTCAAAGAGTTGCTACAGCGAATTTGTTAAGCACAGAAAATATGTGCTTAGCAACAACAAAAAAGGTAACCAGCCAAATGCCATGGGACTTACACTGCTAGTGACTAGTTTCCAGCAGATTTTTAGTTAAGCACATGAATTTGGTAAGCAATGAATTCTGCTTTGTAGCACCATTAAATTGGGTCTGGACCTCGAGTCAAGTCTGCATGCAGGGATATACAATGTAGTCAAGTCTATCACAAGTCCATCACATGTAATTCACAAGTCCAGTCACACGTAACAGTGGATGAACAATCACCAAGGAATGCCTTTGTTAAAGCTCATTGGAATAGCTTGTGAGCTCAATTGGGAATGGAGGACTTGTGATGGACTAATGCAGGGACTTGTGATGGACTCGACTGATGAACTTGACATCCCTGTCTGCACTTTTTTGTGCCTTTTTTTCCCCAGGCCAATTCTGCACTTGACTTAAGCTCTAGTTCAAATGTGCACTTCTTTCCATGATCCGCAGTGCTTTTGTAGTGTAACTTTCTCTCATTTAAAATGAAGCAATCCAATACCCGACCACTGCATGGCCAGGGGGAGTAAATGCTGTGTCACTGGGTCCTTCAAGTAGGGTGAAGGATCATTTTTAAGGGGTGTACCACGGAAACCAGGTGTGTGTGTGAGAGTCAAACTCAGATCAGGTGCTCCAAGACGGGGGAACTGGGACATCAGATTTTGCCCTTCCTTCACCCTAAGCCTGTCCCATGATAGTGAGGAAAAGCCTTCGCTTATCTCCTACTTATCAGAGTTTCGGTCCCGCAGCCTCAGGAATTTTTTGTTCCCCAACTCCTTGTGTCTCATTTCTGTAGTTTTTTAAGCGTCTTTCTCTCTCTCTATCGTTTCCCCCACAAACATCTCAAGCCGCTGTCGCACAATGTGGTTTATGTTAAGGGTTTCCAAAACAGGGTGGGCACTGCAAGAAACAGGGCTGTAGTATCTGGGGGAAAACCGTATCCTGGTTTCTTGCTGTTTTTGTTCGCCCCCCAAAAATTGCCACCCCTGTTTGTTGGCAAGTATTGTTTTTGCATGGCGATAAGCGTTCCCGGGAGAATTCAGTTCTTTATTTCGGCTTGATAAGGTCACTTTGAATCAAATTAATACCAGGGGGAAATTTGTATTGGCAGAATAAAAAAAATCTCATGGGTGAGGATACTACAACGAGAAAAAAAGTTAGGAACTAGCCAGAGCTGGACAATGTCAAGATTACTGGTCACCATAAGAGAGATATTCACCTGGGAATTCCCAGACCCACCTGGGACATTCACGATGACCTTTGAGATTTTTTTTGTTCGTGAGCCAAGTTTGATCGCAGGTGGCCTGAGTGGTCTGCCTCAGCCAAAAATTAGTTGGTACCATATCGCGTCATTCACCGTTTCAAATAAGAAACATAGGCTACCAGTGCACCCGGTCGTGTTTTACTACACATCCGAGGACCCCTATTGTTCCCTTCTTTTGTTCCTATTGTTTGGACGTCAACTTTTTCTCGAACTGTCCCATAAGGTTTGTACAAGAAAACCTTCAGAGTACTTGGCTAAGGTTCCCAGGTTTATTGTTATCGCAGGTAACCCATTGTCTCGGATCCTCAGACGTAAAGCCTAATAAAAGCACCCTAACCCATTACCCCCACTCCAGATAAAACCCACCGCTCAATTCCGTTGCCTCCTTGTTAAGAATAAAGCATTACCATTGTCCTAAGGTTCATGAAGTAGCAAATACTGCCCGGCAAAGTGTGATGCAACAGGCATTATCTTTGATTTGTACCCAAGTTTTTGCTGAGTAAAACTTTGCGTTGCCCTCTTCTATTCCATCCTCAAAAGGTAGTTTTTAATAGAGTGGCATTTTTCAGTATACTGTTTTATGAAAATACCCAAACTTTCTGAAGTTTAAAGAATGGAACTTTCAAACATTCACATCTGATCCTTTAAAATCTGTCTTCTTTTTTCAGCAAGTTATTTACCCTCCTTTTGAAGCCAGCACACGCCCAGACTCCCCGAAGCCCTACACACCCTCTTCTACTTGACGCGATCATTTTACACTTGATAAAAGCCACGCTGCGCTTCAGCAGAAGCTGCTGGCAGAAACAGCTCAGCGGGGATATATCACTCCGTTTTTCATAACTCAATAATTACAAGTCCGCACTTCCCTTGGAGGAGTCCACAGGGAAGCCGTATCGGCTCCTTCTAATCCCCAAGTACCGTCCCTTATCACCCCGCCGTAATTAACGGTTGGGGAGCCAGTCTCAACAACATTGTCCTAAAAATAACTCAAACCTGTTAAATTGACACGCGGGGAAGACAATAATAAGCCGCTGAATTTATGGCCGGTTATGAAAAAATGAGACAGGTCTGGAAAAGCAAGTAACTATCCTGATTAACTTTATGAGAGGTTTGGGGTGGGGGGGGGGGGGGGGAGGGGGGGCAAAGCCGGTTAAGATTTTCCAAAGGGAATTGTACTAACGTACTTCACTTTAAAGAGAAAGAGGGCATTTTCTGGCCTGCACGGAATCAAACTCAGTGTCTGGAAATCCTGGAATATGCGATGATAGCCAGATACACCGGTATGGCCTTGAACATTTATTAATACATTCTTTTTTTTGTATTAGTAATTGGTTCAATCCATCAGTCAATTTTGGAATTTCTTTTTTCTTCTTTCTCGGTCAAGTTTAAGGCCCATTGTAAAAGACAGATTAGGGCTGGAAAACACAACTGAAACTCGAAAGCCGCTTGGAAATTTCAGATGTCACTCTGCCTCTGCCATCAATTATGTTACCGTCTGTTTGCGGCAACCTGTCCATGCATCATGTAGTTTGCCCGAATTAAGAAAAGGATATCTGCCGGTAAAACTGACCTTAAAAAAATGCACTTATTTCATTTCAGTTTTTAATTTGCAGCAGTTAAGGCTGTACTTGCGCGGTGTATTCGAGGTACGTGATGTGTTTTTGCCCGTTTTTGTCGGCTAGAGTTTGGCCAAGAATTGGGTTTCTGGGGGAACGGGTTTAGTATCTGGAGCAGGATTGCTGGAAACAGAAATTGGCTTAACGAGGGTCCGTCTTCGCTGTGTTGGTACCCAGCCAGAACTGGTTTCCATGTCCTTAGAGACGTAATGAAAGGTTCTTGGCAGGGGTGGGTGGGTGGCTGGGGGATCTGTCTCTGAGCAAAACACCCAATTTTGTTTCGGTTTCAAAACATTTTTGTTCTGACAGGATTCTTGAAATTTCCACAACCGAAACAAGCTGGGGTTTTTACCAACGACCAAGCAATGCCTCAGGGTAGGAGAGGTGCATCATTCCTTGATTTTGTTTTAATATTCATAACTGTCAAAGTATACCTCAACATATCAAAATTGGTCATAGTTGGGAGTCGTAGACTTTGTCCCAAATATTTCTGACAAATTTTGAATTCTGCCCCCCCCCAAAAAAAAAAACACACACAAGAAGTGTCGCCAGCTCCAGGCATTAGGAGGCCACAGTACAAACTAGGGGAGAACACCAAAAGGGGAAAAAACACACCTATATATAATTTTTACACTTATGGTTTTTGTCGATGTGGGGGGGGGGCAGTTCCTTGTCAGAGGGGCCCCCCTGGCTCCACCCCCCCTCGCGACGGGCCTGGCCCCACCCCTCCCCACATCAGCACCAGACATGACAATAAACCTGTGCCACACCTTAACATCCCACTGCCCTTCAGTTACAGAAGGTCAACCCCAAGAGACGACCAGACTTGGTCAATTCCCTTCTCTTATAGTCAGGGGCCGAGTTGGAATTGAGACCACATTGGAACCGTGAGTCAACCTCTGTCTACAAATTGGGACAAGATGTTGACACTCACAAGGTTAGTGTAAAAAAAGTGTGGGATCATCGTCCGTCTGTAAGTAAACGTCCATAACATAATTTGGACAGGAATACTTCGGACAGGTTCAGACGGAAAAATAATCATCATGGTGCAGTCTCGTTGTCTCTTTGTCTCAGTCCAATGACGCCGAGTATGGTCTTAACAACCAGATGGTTACAAGAAGGGCCAATCCTATTTTAATTCGCAAGTCTGATAATACTTTGTATTTTGTTTATTGTACATGATTTAGTGTGCAGTGCTTAATGGCTGTGATTTCAAGCAAGACCATCTATAAACCAGATTAAACAAAACAAAAAAAGGGTCACCCATATATTAATTCGCAAGTCTGATGACACTTTGTAGTTTGTTTAGTGAGGTTGTGTGATTTAGTGTCTTGTGCTGAATGTCTGTGATTTCAAGGGAGTGACTGGACAGAATGCTTCAGGTTGTTGTCTCCATCTCAGTCAACAGTGACAGCGTTCACACCAGAGCTAATGTCCTGCATGTGCTGAGTTCAAGAAACGCACTCCTTGTGGGGGGAAAAAGGGGGCAAGAACCAGCAAAGACGAAATCAAAATATGTGAATCATTAGTTTATGAATCTGATTTGGATACCTGCATGGTGGGAGGTATAATCTTGGAGGATTATAGGGATATGTACATGTGCGAGTTTCTTTTGTTGAGAATGGTCCTCAAATGAACATGTGTGTGCTTAGTCTATGTGAGAGTGTTACATTACAGGAACAAAGGGAAACACAATGCGTTGATTGTCCTCAGATGTAATGGTAAAGTATGACTGCGTGTGCGTGCACAAGGTGTGTCCTTCACTAGCTCTTGCGAGTAGGCCAGATAGCGCCCTCTGCAGTCCATAAACAGAGTCTGTTAAGCAACCGCCAACAACAATCTCCAACCACCCAACAAAGTTGCGGACAGATCCGTCCCGCACTGTCATTTCAGTCAGTCACAAGACGCAGTCTCCCCAAACACTAAAGTAGGTTGTGCAGAAACACAGATGACATTGAGCCTCGTCCAATGTGCTTCGCTGGAGAAAAGCCCGTTCAAGCTGCGAATTATTGTGCATCTGCAGTCCTCGATTATCACCCAAGCCCCTGGCTTTTATTTCCACTTCGTGATTCACTGCTACTGAAAGATTCCTTTCCTGGTGAACATTGATCTTGGATTTCTAAGGAGTTTTTTTCCTAAAAACTGCCTCATTGTAAATCCGGTCATCCTAATTTTTTTTTCAAACCGAATGAGGGTTTTCTGATTTTTCCGGAAGTTCTCATCCAGCACACAGTCATGCACTACAAAAAGTGACGAGTGAGGTGCCGCATGAAATGCCCTCCCAATGACTGGGTAAAGTTTGCAGGATTCAACGACCACTGGGCCTTCACAAAAACACTCCAGAGCTGTAATGTTGAAAAAAAGTGGTGGGAGCTCTCTGATAAATCAAACAGGCAGGCTATTCATATACCAAGAAGACCTCTTAGCAAGTGAATGCAGTTACAATCAGAGACCAAATTGGGGGATGTTCCAGTTGTTCTCTTTAGCTTGTGTCACAAAAAGAATTGTTCGCTTAATTTTTCTTCAAGGTTAGTTTTAAATATCCGGTTTCTAACATCGAAACCGAATTGTGAAATTCAAAACGAATTTTAAAAAATCTAGATTTAAATCCCACCACTATCTCATTGTTCTCCCACGATTCAAATAAAAAATCAGAATCCAGTTCAATATTTGTAAATAGAAAAACAATCCTTATCCTTATAACATCGCATCATCGTTGGAATCCCTCATTCTCCTGACGACGGCCAGAGCATACTGTTCGAAACGTTGAGTCCCTCCGGTTCTTTTCAGAACCACACATACTCACAAAAGAGATTTATTCACATGGTGCTACCCCAAACTTATCTTGTCTTAGAAAAAACAATCCAGGTTGTCATGATTTGGTTTTTATTCCCGTATTTTTTAATCTTCGCAGTAAAAAAAAAAAATAAGATGATGGTGGAATTATTCTACAGCGAAGATCAAGAGTGATCAGTACTCAGATAATGGATAGCGTGGGGAAATGCGACCCAATTTGAAGGGGCGACTGACGAAGTCACTCTAACTCTGAAAATTGGAGTGGCTGAGAAAAAGGGGAAGAGTTTAACACTCTATGATAGGTTACAGATTCTACAAGTGTTGAAAACATCAGTTTTAAAGGATGTCGAAGATGGATCTTGTTCAAGGAATTGCTAGTCAGTTTGAACCGTTTGCGGCAAATTAAGGACTTGAAAATGCCAAGAGCAATTTGTGTCAGACACAGGTAGGCTCTGCCTGGAAAATATAATTCACATCTTTATTTGCGGGGAAAACACACCGATTGGGTAACTAACCCAACGTGTTTTAGCCTATCAATCTTTGGACGTGAAAGTTATCAACGGAGGGTGGGTCACACAGAGTCAACCTTCACTTTCCATCAAAGAAGCGAAGGAAAAAAATCTTTCCAAAGGTCAAAGGGGTTCAATGAGTGAAAAAGGGCGGGGATATCTTTTAACAAACAGGCCAATTATAGATATTCTTTTTGTCAACGCTTGGACTGTTACATTAGTCACATAGTGATTCACAGGAACATGTTTGTGACAGTTGGGTTCAGTGGGCACATCTGATTGAGGGGGGAGGGGTTGTTAGTTCCCCTGGGTGAGTTCCCTTTGGGAGGGAGGTTGTCAATTATTCCCAACTCACAGATAAGCATCGGTAGACAAACAAAACACAGAACGCTGCCATCTTTGACAAAAATCAGCACCTTCTTAAACTGCGCGATAAGTGAGTTACCGAGAAATGAACATCAAGATCTTCACGGGGTGTTCCGTCATTTTCTTAACTATTAATACAAACCCAGATAAGACTTGGCCTAGTTACAGGAGTTGAAAGCTTGGGTGTCAAATATATGCAGTTCCTTGAGGCGGTAATTCAGCGAACATAAAAGGAGTTGGCTGAGATTTCGTAGTAGCTTTATTTTCCATAGCACAGTAGATTTTCGCTAAGCACCTTATGCGTTAAGGCAGACTTTTTTTGCCGGACATGAGACTGAGTGTGGTACCGGTTGCGCATGCATTGCATGCAGCTAGCTCAGTCGGGAGCGCGTGTGCAGGTTCTACACGCGCGCGAGCAACGCGTATTGTATACGAGGTTAGCCACTATACATGCGTTTTTATAGACTAGTCACATGGCCGTTCTAGACCAATGAAACTACAGTATCCAAGAACACGATATAACAAAACAATTATCAGTCCCAAATGCTGAAAAGGGGATGTTTATTATATCACAAAATGTTCCGTAAAGCTGGGTTTTTGCTATAGCGGCCATAACTGCAAAACTGATTATCGGCACAGCAAGTTTAAGAAACCAGCCCTACCACTCCCTCCCCTTCCCTATTCATAGGAAGATGTAAGATCTATACTCACATTGAAATGAGGATTGGAGTTGATCTGGTTCGTCCAGGCCGAGCGCGAGTTCTGTTGGTATTTGAACGGGCCCTGGAAGGAAGCCTCAATGTGGGCCAGACTGAAGGCGCACACGGCCGAGGCGTGGGCCACACCGCTCGGGGTGGTGAAGACCCCGTAGATGGTCTGAGTTGACTCCTCGTAAAAGGTGGACTCTGTTTGATGGAAGGTTGAAAAAAAAAAAATGAAGTGAGAAAGGTAGTTTATCTCATTAGCGCATGGGTTGTATTGTTATTGATGGCGAAAGGAATTGATGATGTGATATTTGAAACAACTACATGTACATATGCAATAAGCACTTGTAAACATTGTCAAAATAAAACTAGGCCCATTGGGCTAATTAGTAAAAACAAACAGTTCCAATCAGATATGGCAAAAATTTGCACGTGTGGCAATTAAGTTTTATCAAGGTGTTTTAAATACCTGACTGTGTTTAAACAATCTAGTTTTGCTGCCTAAAATTTGGGTACAACCATATATGGTAATTTCAAAGATCAGGCAATAATTCGGCTACAAGCGCCTATCCAACCCCCTCGGTAGTCTGGCAGATATGGAGGTGTAAATGTTGATGCCTCCCCCCCCCCCAAAAAAACTTCACATTATAATAATTGCCAATTTGAATGGGTCTGTGGCTACCCCCCCCCCCCCCCACGCAAATCTTTTTTGGCCACTTACAATATGCCTGTACGTACAATCCAAATGGCGTCAAAACCCTTCCCCTCCCAGGGTTTGAAAGTTGGAGATAACAAACAATTTCCCTTTTAACATTTTTCTGTTTGACACAGTCGAGGGGTTCACAAAAATTTGTTACTATTAACTTGGAGACAGTCTGCGTGTCGCATGCTGTTTTGCAATTACAGAAACGTGTCTGACACCAGTGCCTTTGTTAAAGTCAACAAACAGATGCCAAGGGCTTTGTGACAAAAATCTCAGCAGCACTAAAAGCCCATAAATTATCTGTCACCGACAGCATTTTTGGCGGCGGACAATGCCTGTATCATGATCACAATGGACTGCCCAAATCGATGATGATCCCAACAGTGCAATGACATTCCTGGAGTTGGCCAGGAAATGCCCCTCAAAGAATCAGGGTTCCCAGTACTTTTATGAAAATACAATTCCCTGAGTTTCCCCTGATATTTCCCTGAGAAATGTCCAAAATCCAATGAGAAATATGGTTGCCAGGAAGCCAAGAGGTGGTTGCAGTGAAGCGAAGCAAGACACTGATAATACATAGGCAAAAAAGCCACCATATGCCAGCCAGTCAATGGACACATGGCACACTGTCAAAATCCCTGAATATTCCCTAACTGGAAAAACGGAAAGACATTTTCAAGGTTTTCCCTGATTTTTGTTTGAATACTGACAAAAAAACCTGGGTGTAACGCTAATCTGCTCTTGTTTACAAAATGCAATTTTTCCCCCCTTTTAACAGTCAGGATTGTTGATTGTTATTCATTCCGGAAAAAAATGAAATATAGTTGGCTGAAGAACAGCGAACATGTGCCTATGTTGTCCGATCCGCAATCTTAATTTTCAGCCATCCATGTCCGATCACCGGTCACATATCAAATAAAAACATCACAAATATTTACTAAAAACCAGTTTCATTTCACTGGTCATCCCTCTTGCATGCAATGACTCCATTGTTGTTTTTTATGACTATCCCGGAACTGTTATAGTTGAACAGCTGAAAATTATGTCAATGAACTCCAGAAAATGTGGCCATTGTCAGGAAATCTGTGAACTGATGAAGTGATGCTCTTATGCATGCATCAATAAAATACAGAATTTCATAAAACAACAACAATTGCATTCATAGGAGGCAGAAGTGGGCGACAGTTAATAATAGCTGGTTGAAAGGAATAAACAACTCTTTTTTTTCCCTTCTGAAATGACAAGGACTTACGGAGCTCGTTGAAGTGAAATGGATATTCTCCTGGGATGGTGCATGTGATGCGAGCCTTCATAAAAGTCGTCCAGTTGTCCTCCAATAAAAACTGTCCTCCGGAGTCGTTCTGTTTTGAGACAAAGAAAATGGCCGTTTCAGAAACATAATTTTTTCCATTTTTGAAAGGCTTGAACAAAATTAACTAGCAATCAAATTTTTGAAGATTTACATGTACTTTACTATTGGAGTAGTAACAATGAATTTCACACAAATCATACAACTAAAAAAGATGTTCAGTTGCTTTTCTTATTTTCAAATTCTAACCCCATTCAGATAATAACATTCCAAAACTATAGAGGAGGTTGTTGATCCAGAGCACCTTCGGTATTTTAATTTCCAATTCCCTTCAGAGACATTTTATTTAAGCAAACAATATCATAAACAGGACAATAACAAACTCAAGACAACAACTAATTTTGAAAAAAAAAAAAAAAAAAAAAAAAAACGTATGAAATTCAGAGCTGGTGATTTATTTCCCATGGTAAGCTTTCAAAAGTTCGCCCCGTGACCCCAAAATCCCCTTAAGTGGTCGGGCAACATTTGTTGGAGTTGACAAAGGGGCACGGGTGCTAGGGAAAGGACGAGTTCCCAGGCTCCCGAAAACAAAACCAAAAACAATGAAGTTGTCATCCAATAAAGACAGTGTTCCTTCTTGCCAATCAACCAATAACAAACAATAATGGAAGTGTACAGGAGGTACATTTGTACATCCCTCATCTGTCAACGAAGTTTTCAAAGTCCCTCCATTTAAGTTTTGGAAGGCAGTACAAAAACTCCCTAGTTGATACATGGATCCTGCTGGTGCCAACCTACAGTGAAGTTGTAATCAAGTGATGTATCTTATTCTGATATTACCATTAGTGGTGATTCCAGGTTGCCGAAAAAAAAAATGCAGGCAGAAAATAGAAAATGACAGCAGCAACCTCTATGTTCGTTTTATTTGCCCTCAGATTCATCAATTTCGATCTTTCGCTGACCCTGTGTCCCCCTGTCTTCTTTTGTTATAGCTGACGAGGGTTCTCAACGTAACCAACTTAGAAATTGACTGGGGTGCGGTTTGAACCTGCGACCTCCGGATTGCCGTTCCGGCGCGCTACCAACTGAGCTATCCAGCCTGATGTTGGCGGTTCCCCATCTTGTCAATGTCTTTGTCCAAGGGGTGCTAATGATTTGAAAGTTGGTAGGTTTATTTTTTTGAATCCCTTAAAGGAAACAAAACATCCGCAAATTTAAAAAAAAAAATGTATAGATCCTCACCTTGCATACACGAGCAACTCTGGAGTAGACCACCTGCAAAATACAAATATGAAACAAAACACATTCATTTTTCGTTTAAACAAAGAAAACGTAGGACATGGACCCACTTCCTTCAAAATACGAATACCAACACTTGCACTCTACCATTAAAACTAAGGCGAGTTATTCACAATCCAAACTACACTACAAAAACATCAATCCTCTTTATTGTGTTTTTTTCTTCAAAATAACCTCAGCCACGTGAAGCACAAAATGTCAACCATTTATTGGCTTCCCCCTTCTGGAATACCTCATCCATTAACACTGCGGTTCCAGAAAAAAATATATAAAAGAAATGAACAACTCGACCGAATTAATGAAACGACTCCGCGCACCTGCACATGCTGCCTACATCAAGATTAATGGACTGCATTAAGCTCAGGATATTTTTTAAGAGCTCGTATTTCAAATGTTTTTCATCCCCACTTTGCACACAAGTTTGGGCCCTAATTGTTGAACAGGCGAATCGTTTAATAATTTCATTTCTGACATTTGTCTCCAATTTCACGTTTTCGTTACTGCTTCCCGTTTTTCATGATAAGGGGCGGTTTCACAGTCAACCTTATCGTTTGCTGACAATCTATCCCCCCGCCTCCCCTTCCCCTTTTACCAACAGCAAAAATCCTGCATGACTAGCACCCGATCCTGTTGCGTTACATTGCACAATCGGCTCTTTTTCATGTTAACTGAATCCACATTTCAACATATACCGAGTCCCGCCTGTAGATCTACATTTTTCATCTACAATCCACAAATGTTCCACATGAATGCCCGGACGGCCCTTGCCCAGTAAAAAAAAATATCTGTCTCTCAGCGGGACAGGCGCGTCACGCCCCACAGAGCGACGTACCCCCCAAGGCAAAAAAACTCCAGTCATTTCAACACAGAAAGAGAGAGAGAGATAGCAACAAAATATTAAAAAGGGACACAACGCAAACGCCCAGTTTGAAACGTGAGTCAGATTCGTGGCAGGTTTGGGAAAAGCGGGAAACCTGGAGATACGATAAGCTTCCTTGAGGTGTAGGGTACAGTCAAGGTGCTGTCAAGGGCGTGTGACAAGGGGGTTGAGGGGGTGGGGGAGGTCCCTGCAACATGAAAGCTTCAAGATGCCACACCACCTGTTGATTTTGAAGGTATTCTTCATAAAAAAACCAACAGTGACGTCTAGAAGTCTGACATTAAAAGAAGCATAGTAACAGGCTGTCAATTCCAAGGTTTGATAATAGCCAAAAAATGATTGACAACAAAAGTTTGTTCTTGTCATTTTGTTCAAAAGTGGAAATGTGGTTTGAGGCCTTAAAGTTTGGACTCCAATGGTACATTTGTAAACAGCGACAGGAGCCCTACTTTTGTGCTTCTCCTTTGTGAGAAAATTCCCCCCCCCCAAAAAAAAATCAAATGTTTCAAAAAATGTCAAATGTTTTTAAACTACTGTAAATAAACAATAAAAAATAACAATTTTATCTTCAAAACTTAGCCCACCATAATGAAGCACACCTCCAATTTTTCGTTTCCAGCAATCCTAGAGCTGGACATTACCGTTCAAAATTTCCGGATGCATTCAATCAACTTCATAGCCCTGCATGCACGCTGGAGGCAGGGCAAGAATGCATCCGTGGGGAAAACGCACAAGACATTTGTATGTTTTGATTTCAAGCTTGCTCTAGTATTGTCTTGCTGTTTTCTTGGCAGATGTGGACATGCCTGTCAAGAGATGTCTGAGAAACATTCCACAAGGTGCTTTACTATCCCAACTTCAGTGGATCCAAATCAAACCTTTTCAAAAAAAAATTCTCAATATGTGCAATTCAACTCCTTTACATTAATTTTCTTCAATGTACTAGGGTGGGGGGGGGGGGGCAGAACATTCAAAAAGGGAAGGGGGGTTTCCACCATTGCCCCACCCCCACTTCTGCAGTCAGTCCCTGGGAAAAACCACACCAGGTTCACAGCCAAGAATGTACGTGAGTAAGCTTGTGCTCACCGTGTTACAACAGGAGACAGCCTCCAATATCAATCTATTTAATCTACGATTACCAGGGTGACAGAAATTTGCTGTCACATGCCAGACTTCTATCAAACGTGTCTGTCTATTAAACTGTGACCCAGCGCACCTCTCTCTTGTATGTATTCCCACTTGGGCCTGCCAATCAATGTGAACAAAAGAACAACAGGCTCGTTTTACAACAAGAAAAGAAGAAAAAGGGAGAAAGTTTTAAAATGCGCCTCCCTGGTGCCCGAGCAATGGGTCACATCATCTGAATAGGTTGGGATTGTTAGTTGGTTTCCCTAGGGTGCATCGAGTGGGATGGGTGCGTGGGTGTGTCTGAGAGATTTGGAGACATACAGAGAGAATGCTTCAGGAGCTATAAAGCCCAACCAGAGATAAACAGGGCCCAATTTCATGACTTTGTTAACCACCAAATTCTGCGCTTACATGATCACCATTCTCTGCTGACAGTGCTAGCAGAAAAACTCTGTGCTAACCCAGTAAGCACAGAATCCTTAGTTATGGGATGTACGAATGCACAGAAGCCAAAATGCCTCGCTGACCCGTGAAATGCACTTACCGTAAACACAGAATTATCTGCCGCAGTAAGCAGAGTTTTTTTTTTGCTAATGGTAAGTTGAGCAATGAAATTGGGCCGAGATCAGGGACCAATCTCAGGCAAAATAGGTTACCAGCCAAAATGTCATGCAATGTATATTGCTTCTGACTGGTATTTGGCTTTTTTTTTTTGCTAAGTAAACATTATCTGCTTAAAGGTAATATACGTTTCCTTTGGCTGTAATTTTCAGAAATCGGGAATTGGCAGGTCAGGGAACCAGACTAGCTAGCTTGAACCCGTTCACGGATGTGTAACCAATTCAAACAAAATGTGGACTTACTAAATTTTGGTAAATTGGGGGCAGTATTTGAAAAAAAAGTCAATTTTTTCCAACGATGGTCGGCCGACCATCGTTGCAAATTGATACGAAAATTCCACTTTTCTTGAGAAAACAGCACACCAGGTGCCATGATTTCACAGGACAGTTGGAACTATTATTCACTTAGAGTCAAGTGAGGCACTTCAGAATAATCTGGTAGGTTTTTTTTTGGGTTTTTTTGATGTTTGCAAATGTTGTACATCACCTTTAAACTATAACAGAATGATTTTTTAAAAGGTAGCGTGACACCATAATAATTCTTACTCCCTGGAGCAACTTGGTGAGTATTACTTACAACCATCAATCAATAAGGAAACAAAAATCTTCCCAGTGTTTCCCCATAACTGGGTCAAATTTGATCAAGTTTCACATTTTTGGAGGCTTGGAGTCTCTTAGAGAAATGTCTAGAAAGCCAAGGCCCTTTTCCCACTCCCAACAGATTTCTCCTCTGGTTCCTTATATACTTTAAGGCCTACAGGATTGAAAGAAATACAAGAAGTCCTTGTAGTGCTGTAACTTCATCCCAAACTCACAAATTGCAAGACATTCTCATGAGTTCCTTTGGGAGGATTTTGTCATTAATTTGGAGACTTGGCAGTCGAAAGTACCACATGTTGTACTTTCAAAAATCTTTTCTGATTTGCCAAACAATTGTTATGGACAAAAACATTTTTTTTATAGACTAATACACAACTGGTGTAACCCCTGAAAACTAAGACACAGTTGAAGAAATCATCGAATCCTAACAGACAAATTGCTGACCCAGATATGCAAATTACCTCTAACCTCTGACCTCAACAGGCGGGAGAAAGAAAACACACAACGAGTTTATAACAAAATGCGGTTTAAATTTCCGCCCCTGGGTCACCAATAATTGAATAAACTGACACCTCGGAGTTAATATACTATACACAGTAAATAAACTATTAACTAATTGGGTAAAATATGAGATTTTGAGCTGTTGGCGTGTTGGGAACTGATCCTGTAGGAGACCGATACGTCTCAGTCTCCTGTATCGCTGCGAAAACCCGCAGGGGAGTAAAGAACCCGGCAACACCCACTCCTTGCGATACAAAACAAATGACCCCGACGATCCCTAGCTCAAAATCTCTCCTCGGCAAAAAAAAAAGTTATACTTTCAAAACACTGTTTTGACACCTGTTATGAGTGGGATGTTTTCATATTTTCTCCCCGCACCCTCCCGAAGCGTTTCCCAAAGTCTAGCAGTCTGACCCTAGGACTCAATTAAAACGGTTTCGCCCGCTTGGCCGATTTTTTTTCTATTTAAGGGAGCTCAAGGTAGAAAAATTCTCAAGAATCCTGTACGGACTATGGAGGCTTTCTTAAGTTGTTAGCTCTATTTGAAAACCTGAACAGCCAAATTTTCTGTGAACATGTAAGTTGTGCTATGTGCTGAGCTCCCAGATACGTACATGTACAAGTACATGTATGCATGCCCCAATTTTACTGCACATATGGGGAAATAAGTACATTTTTTGCTGTATTCAGATTTTTTGCTGTATTCTTAAAATTCCAGTTTTCCCCAGAGAAATTTCCCAAAGCTTTGCTACAGCTTCCAAGCTACAAGCCTGTGTCATGTAACACCCATAAGTCAGTCAGTAAGATTCTGGTCTTCAAAGACAGACATGGGGAAAAAATACCTTGTAAGGTAGCCCAGAAGGGACACAGTGGATAGGTTTTATATTTTTCACATTTCAAATTTCTTTTCTGACATCACACGTTTCTTTTACAAGATGGTTAATTTTGTTCTAATTTAATAGTGGCAATTTCTTTTCAATAACGAATAGTATCAGTAAAAAAATTAATTCCATACTGGAAATGACTTTAATTTCTAAGACACTTCTGACGAAGGGCAACGATGTTGCTCGAAGAAGTCAACAAAACAAGTAAGTTTGATTTTGTAACAAAATACCGTGTTTCTCTTCAATTATCAATTTGTCCAATTACACTTTCAGGCACTGCATTATAACTACTGGTCAAATATCATATCTATCACCCTCCCCCCCCCCACTTTTTTCGTCCCTGAATAAAAATTGTAGCCTACA